GGATTTGCAGTTAAAGATATCTTTACGCATAAAGATCAACCACACTTTAATGTCAATGACACAACAGTACTCATTTTCTTTAAGTGTGAAATTTTAAATCATAATTTCTGTCTATTTACTAGAACATTATATTATTTTGAAAGAAAATTATTCCAATGTTATATTTCACAACAAGAATGATTATGGTATTGATAATAATACTGTAGACTATGGACAATACAACCTGCCATTATGTAATGAGACTGAATGATGTGATATATAATAAGTGAAAACAAGAGGCTGATAATCAATGAAGTTATCACTTCTAGTCCCATTTGACCTTTTAAAACAATGTTTTTCAATTATCACTTGATAATTAGACCAGCTTGTTGTCATTTCCATATATAGCTTTACTTGATAATATCTACATTAACCTTTTAATTTCATTCAGATCAACAAAATATGGCAGCTTTTTTCAATCATTGGAGTTGTGCATTACAGAGCTTGTTTGATGTGATAAGAAATGAATTGAAGTAGACATGAAATATTGTTTTATTGCTTTGTTTTTTAATGCCAACAAAATTCTCTGTTGAAATAATACAATGCTGTTTTTGTAGAAATGGACAAGGGTCATTCTAGTTAGTTTGTTGTCTGTAAGGCCATGTCATTGGTGCTGTTCATTTACATCCTTCTCAGGGAAAGATGCCATTGCCAATGCTTCCAACATTGGGCCCCAGTGTCTACTTTCAACCCTTAACTATCCAATTTTGAAAGAGAGTTGTTATAGTGGCAAATGCAAGTTAGGTTAATGAATGCTTGTCTGATTTGGTTTTTACACTTTGTCAACCAACCTTAAATCATGGCTTAAAACCTCAACAATTTATCACATTAGAAATTGACTGGTTATTTTAACAAGTAAACAGATTATATCAACAGATCTATTGATGTTTATGACTGTTACCTTATTTGGTTATAACATTGATCAAAATAACTTGTTTACTTCAAACCTCTTGTCATTTATTTCTCTTAATCAGTCAGAAAGTTCTATAAATGGATCAGAAACACTCTGCAGTAAATACAATTAGTTGTTTCTATGTCAGTACTAGATAAATAGTGTTAAAATAAAAATCTGTACAAGCAAAACAATTCCATTTACCAAAAATCTCATCTAAAGCATGACAAAATAAGGAGCAGTAATGATATACTATTGGACTATAACTATATACTTGTTGTGCTGTAAATTTGAGCCAAAAGCACTCATTCCCAGTGCTAAATTTCTAATCATTTCAATAATTTTCAAGGACTTTAGGGTTGCAACCGTTTTTCAAGGGCAAGCTCATTCTTTTGAATTGCACTATTATTTTATGCATTACTTGCAAGCTCAATAAGATACGTAAACAATGGCATGTACAACTCCAATTCATTTCATTTCACTTTCTGACCACATGAAAATGTGTTGAAATGGAGAGTTCAAACTAATGAAATATTCAGTGTAATTAGTGTTTAGATAATGAAAATTTCATGGTTAAATGTAAGGGGAGAAGAAAGGATTTAAATTCTATAGAATTTATATTTATAGAAAGTTGAGAATAAATATTTTATTCTTATTATTACAAAGCTTACTTCAAATAAAACTATTCCATTTGATTAGAAACTAATAGTATTTATTTTAATATTTGTAGAAGCTTTTAATAAAACATTTCCATCGATTTCTCATTATTTTATTATCTTCTATATGAAATAAATATTAACTCTTCACTGATATATGTATTAGGCTGAATAAATGGAAACTATTAAGAATTTGTAAGAATCAGATTCAGGCCTTCTTATACAATTTTCATTGCTTAGGTTAATTTGAAGTAATTCAAAGAGAAATAGCTAGCTAAGAAGGATTCTGACAGCAGAAGACTATAATTGTGTCAAGAGAGATAATTATGTAGCTTTAAATATTTTAGGCCTGATTGACAGCTCTAATGAATTGCTTTTCTGAAAATGGAATTTGAATTAGTGGCTTAAAAGCATTTCTCTGCATTTTCCTGTTCTGTCAGAAGCTGTCTATGTTATTTCATACATTTAGTGATTTAGTGAACTCAATAATTCATTAACTGTGCAATCATATACTAATTCATAAAGTATTAAAAAAAACTTAAATCATTAACTAAATGCTATTTCATCATACATTCTTGCAGCCAAGTCTGTTTCCTAGATTAATTATCTGATTTAGAAAATTAACAGGTATGCAATTAATGATTAATTATTCAATAAAAAAAATTCAAAAAAGCTGAAAGGTTTCAATGGATTATAAAAGATTGTGGGAAATTAAGTGAAATAGTTAGTTGATTTGGTTGTACTTGACTAAAATTAAATGAAATGAAATGATTAGTTGTTTTGGTAGTACTCGACTAAACATTAAATGAAATGAAATGATGAGTTGTTTTGGTAGTACTCGACTAAAAATGAAATGATGATGATGTTTTGGTGGTACCTGACTAAAAATTAAATGAGATGAAATGATGAGTGGTTTTGGTAGTACTCGACTAAACATTAAATGAAATGAAATGATGAGTTGTTTTGGTAGTACTCGACTAAAAATGAAATGATGAGATGTTTTGGTGGTAATTGACTAAAAATGAAATTAAATGAAATGATGAGTGGTTTTGGTACTACCTGACTAAAAATTAAATGAGATGAAATGATGAGTTGTTTTGGTAGTACTCGACTAAACATTAAATGAAATGAAATGATGAGTTGTTTTGGTAGTACTCGACTAAACATTAAACGAAATGAAATGATGAGTTGTTTGGTAGTACTTGACCAAAAATAATGAGATGAAATGATGAGTTGTTTTGGTAGTACTCGACTAAACATTAAATGAAATGAAATGATGAGTTGTTTTGATGGTATTCAACTAAACATTAAACGAAATGAAATGATGAGTTGTTTTGATGGTATTCAACTAAACATTAAACGAAATGAAATGATGAGTTGTTTGGTAGTACTTGACCAAAAATAATGAGATGAAATGATGAGTTGTTTTGGTACTACCTGTACTAAAAATAAAATGAGTTGTTAATGATATATTATTTTTATTAGTATGAAATGATGAATTATTTCTTCCAATAGTTTTTAAAAAAGCATTGAAATAACATTTTTATCTCATTGTTCTAGAGAAGAAGAATATCTCATGCAATAAGTGTTTTAACATAAGTTCTGCAGGAAATGAAAAGAAATAGAGTTTCTGATAAAGTTCTGTAATAAGTAGTTAAGTAGCTCTGACAAATGAAATGAGTTTTATTCAGTAGTTCATTAAGAAAACTTATTTTGTTAATAAATTGTGATGTTTGGGAGTACTGGGTACATGTTTGAGATGTCAACACTGTGTTGAACCAACTCACTTACTGATGTAAAGGTTAATAAGTTTAATTGTATACAATAAATTTCTTTTATAATAATGGATAGAGAAAGTAAAGAGAATCATTTTTTTCTAGATTTATGGTTTTAATTAGTACATATCTTTTGTACTGAAGTTTTTATCGTCATCATTCAACTTTTATTATATCAAAATACATTGTTTATGTATCATTTATTATTAAAAGTTGTATTTTATAATTTTATATAGCCTTAATGTAGATATATCAAGCATGACTTCACTGAACTTTAAAATGATTATTAAGAGGTTTTGTATATTATTATATTATGCCATATGCATGTACCAAATGACCAGATATTGAAGAAAATGCCTCAATTCTTAGTCTCAGGAAAAACTTTCTAATATCTCTTAGTCTCAGGAAAAACCTTATTATATCTCTTGATCTGAGGAAAAACCTTTCTAATATCTCTTGGTCTCAGGAAAAGTCTTCTGAGGTCTTTTTTTATTTCAGGGAAAATCTTTTATTTAATGCCTGAGGAAAAACCTTCTCATTTCTCTTTGTCTAAGGAAAAACCTTCTAATATCTCTTAGTCTCAGGAAAAACCTTATTATATCTCTTGATCTGAGGGAAAACCTTTCTAATATCTCTTAGTCCCAAGACAAACTTTCTAATACAGGTATCGCTCTTCGGTCCCAGGGAAAACCTTTTTATGTCTTTTGATCTTATTAAAAATCTTTTTAGTACCGGTACTTAAATTTTTGATTGATTTTGTACACTTTAAATCTAAGAAAAAAATTCATTGACTTAAATTTCGCATTAATCAGGCTTCATTACCAACTTCATAAAATCTTAAAATTGATTTTTTTCTTGTTGCTAGGATTATATTTTCCAATTTGAACGATTTGACTTCGATATTGTATATAATTCCTTGACCAGTTGTATATTGACAGAACAATTACTGGTATTGAGGCCAATATCTATCTAGGATAATTATACACTCAGGAAATATGACAGTGTGACTGTAGGCTAGTTACAAAGATCATCAGCCTATTTCTGTCAATCAGATGTCTATCTGCATCTCTAATGTTTTCTGTGTACTGTCTTAATATGATCTATGAAATGTAATATTTTTTTAATCTCAGACTAATTAATATTATAAGGATTACCTAAACATTTGTTTTTGCAACTTAAAGTGTTCAATTTCATGTATTTTTTTTTGGGGAGTTGTTTTCAGAATAAAGTCTGGTTCTTCAATTTAATAAACATACAGGCCAAAATGATGGCAGGTCAAAATCTGGGGATTTTATTCTCTCCATCAGATATACAGAATTATGTTGATAATATTTGATGATATACCCCTTCAAAGGAATCTTGGAAATAATGTCTTTCTTTATATTAATGTTAGTTATTACATTAATGGCCTCATAAACGATGAATGAGCTCTTATCTTTTAGTCAAGCAGATTATAAGATGACTATGTCTCTTTAAACAAATCTATAAAAGGAACGTCTTTCTCTATATTAGTGTTAGATATTACATTGGTGGTGTCAGATATGATGTCAACAAACCGTCAGCGAGGAGCAATCTTCTATCAGCTTTATTTGTTCCAAATAGTGCCATGTTTAATTTTGTTGATGTGATATATTTCAGAGTAATGACATCAATGGGTGTTTTGATGATAACATTATCAGTTGTTGGTGTTAGTTGGTTAGATAAATTGAACGCAGACACCAACAGATGTGTTTCAGCTTACTATGATCGACATCATGCCATATCTTTCTTTGGAGGTGAGTGTAAAAAAATCAATATGAGTGACAATATTGTCAACAGCAGTTCTCTACTATTCCTGGTCATAAAGACTGAAATAAATGGAAGTCATATTGATGAATGAGGATCAGAATTTGACATTTAATATTTTATCAAGATTGGAATGACAACCACATCTGACACAACCTTTACCTAATTAATTTTAATATTAAATTTCATTAGATACCAAAAAAACCTAGAAATGTAAATAATCAGAAGATAGATCGTGTTTTTTTCATAGTTGTGCAATGAGATCATTTGTGCTCAGTTTTCTTCTGAAGATGATTCTTTTGTCAGAACTATTTGATATAGCTTTAAGGATAATTTAAACTTTTTGATGTAGATAAAAAGAACTACATGTCTTTGATACCAACAATCAGAACTATTTGATACCAACAATCAGAACTATTTGATACTAACGATCAGAACTATTTGATACTAACGATCAGAACTATTTGGTACCAACAATAAGAACTATTTGATACCAACAATCAGAACTATTTGGTACGAACAATCAGAACTATTTGATACCAATAATCATAACTATTTGATACTAACGATCAGAACTATTTAATACAGAAAATCAGAACTATTTGATACTAACAATCAGAACTATTTGATACCAACAATCAGAACTATTTGATGCCAACAATCAGAACTATTTGGTACCAACAATCAGAACTATTTGATACCAACAATCAGAACTATTTGATACTAACAATCAGAACTATTTGGTACAGAAAATCAGAACTATTTGATACTAACAATCAGAACTATTTGGTACAGAAAATCAGAACTATTTGATACTAACAATCAGAACTATTTGATGCCAACAATAAGAACTATTTGATACCAAAAATCAGAACTATTTGATACCAACAATCAGAACTATTTGGTACCAACAATCAGAACTATTTGATACTAACAATCAGAACTATTTGGTACAGAAAATCAGAACTATTTGATACTAACAATCAGAACTATTTGATACCAACAATCAGAGCTATTTGATACCAACAATCAGAACTATTTGATACCAACAATCAGAACTATTTGATACTAACAATCAGAACTATTTGATACTAACAATCAGAACTATTTGATGCCAACAATCAGAACTATTTGGTACCAACAATCAGAACTATTTGATACCAACAATCAGAACTATTTGATACTAACAATCAGAACTATTTGATATAGAAAATCAGAACTATTTGATACTAACAATCAGAACTATTTGATGCCAACAATCAGAACTATTTGATGCCAACAATCAGAACTATTTGATACCAACAATCAGAACTATATGGTACCAACAATCAGAACTATTTGATACTAACAATCAGAACAATTTGGTACAGAAAATAAGAACTATTTGATATAGACAAACAAAACAATTTGATAAGGAAAATCACAACTATTTGATAAGGAAAATCTTAACAATTTGATAATGGAAATCAGAACTATTTGATAAAAGAAATCAGAACTATTTCAGATCTATTTGATAAAAGAAATCAGAACTATTTCAGATCTATTTGATAAAAGAAATCAGAACTATTTGATAAGGGAAATCAGAACTGTTTGATAAGGGAAATCTGAGCTATTTGATAGCACAAATCAAAACTATTTGATAGTGCAAGTGAAAGAACAATCAGCTGAAATGCAAATCTTCAAATGACAATGTTATATATTTTCACATGAATTGTTATTTTCAGTTTTACAAGGATACACAAATCTATGTCAAATAATATATTCTTATCAGGTTTCATATGAACAGCTAGCTCTTGTTTTAAACTGATAATAATTACTGAAAGTTGATATTAATGTGTGTTTTAGATCATTCAGATTGGAAATATGATAAACATGAGGATAGTTATTATGAAGATTATGATGATGAGTATGTAAAATCAAGTCACTGTGTCCGAGTTAGAGATAGAGAATTAACAGATACTGACTCTAATGGTTATTTGAAAGATGATCAAAAAAATGACATCAACAAAAACAACAATCAACCTCAAAAATCAACAACTTCCATTAAATTTAAAGGCTCCAAAAACAAACGCAAAAAAGAAAAGAAGAAAAAACGAAGAAAAAAGAAAAAGAAAAATGTAATGTACATGTATCTATATACTGAAACTTTTCAAAGACCGAACCTACCATGTTTTCCAATTTCCACAAAGATTCTGTGTGCTATGAACTTTGCATGTTAATGAGCTGTTTGAAGCTGAAATTCAAAAATTGCAGCTCCCCTTTAATATTTTATACTGTATGACTTTGGTTGTTTGGAAGAGCCCTATACTGTAGTTGTAGTAAACCTAATACAGTTGTAATTTCTAGTAAGAGATTTTGGAACCTAGATCTTTATGCCATTTAACCAGTAATTTTGGTTTTTTTATTGTATTGCAGGTAAATAATTGAAATAAACAAAATGAGATGAAATTTCACTGTGTTTATTTTCAACTTGTTCTGTGGTAGAAAGTTGTGGGACCAGGAAGGTGAAATGATATGAAGACAAGGATTGTATACCACCAATACAGCTCCGTATTTAGTTAGATATAAATCATATAATATATATACATGTATCTGTGATAATGTAACTTGATTAGTGTCAGGTTGTTAAGACAACATTCAAATTGCAGGCAACATGACATCTATCAAGAGCTCTTAAAAATTTTGGCATACTAAAAATACATCACCTATACAAATTTCATGTTTTTCTTCTGATGGTTACATTTCTAGTTCACGATCTGCCAACGATTTGCTTTCAATCCTGTACACATATAAATCAATTGAGACAAATCAACTAATCAAAACTGACTCTTGTCAGTAAAATGTATGTAAATTTATAAAAGTGCTGAATTCTGTCTTCTGAATGATATTTTCAAGAGTTAATTACTTAGTTCATGCTGTATAAATTTCAAATGAAGTGTTGATTGAGATAGAGTATTGGTTTTGGCATGTTAGAAAGAACAGGACATTCATATTTTTGTATAACTTTCTTTGTGGTAAAAGTGCAACATATATATTTAATTGATATGTATAGCGGTGTCATTGTTTTGATGATTGTTGTCAAAATGTTTGTTATTAAAATTATATTGTTTTATACAAACACAGGTTTATCTAATGGATATATGACAAGATGTTAACTTCCCTTATTACAAGTTTTAGAGTGAAAATGTGACGTTGGCTTTACCTGTACCTTATAACTTATGAAAGCAATGTCAGTTTCAGCATTTGAATACATGTAATACCAATTCCCTGAAAGTCAGATTTACACTCTGAGAAGTGGTACAGGTATAATAATAAATAGGCTCAATTGGTTGTCTGGGGATTGAATTTGATACAGATTTCAGAGACAGAGAAGAATGCACTACATAGTAGCAATAGAGTTTTGAAGTCATTATGTAAAGCCAAATGAATTCATGGTTGTAATTGTCAGTCTGGTAAACAGTTAAAAAGAGTGGAATTTTTTAAGAACAATTTATTTTTCACTTTTCCACAAAAATGGAATGTAAGTTAACTCTAACATAATCTTCACATGAAATCTGTCCATACAAACATAATCTTTACATGAAATCTGTCCATACAAACATAATCTTTACATGAAATCAGTCCGTACAAACATAATCTTTACATGAAATCTGTCCATACAAACATAATCTTTACATGAAATCTGTCCGTACAAACATAATCTTTACATGAAATCTGTCCGTACAAACATAATCTTTACATGAAATCTGTCCGTACAAACATAATCTTTACATGAAATCTGTCCGTACAAACATAATCTTTACATGAAATCTGTCCGTACAAACATAATCTTTACATGAAATCTGTCCGTACAAACATAATCTTTACATGAAATCTGTCCGTACAAACATAATCTTTACATGAAATATTTCAATACAAACATCTTTACATGAAATATTTCAATACAAACATCTTTACATGAAATATTTCAATACAAATATAATCTTTACATGAAATCTGTCCATACAAACATAATCTTTATATGAAATCTGTCCATACAAACATAATCATTATATGAAATCTGTCCATACAAACATAATCTTTACATGAAATCTGTCCATACAAAAATAATCTTTACATGAAATCTGTCCATACAAACATAATCTTTACATGAAATCAGTCCGTACAAACATAATCTTTACATGAAATCTGTCCATACAAACATAATCTTGACATGAAATCTGCCCATACAAACATAATCTTTATATGAAATCAGTCCATACAAACATAATCTTTACATGAAATCTGTCCGTACAAACATAATCTTTACATGAAATCTGTCCATACAAACATAATCTTTATATGAAATCAGTCCATACAAACATAACCTTTATAGATATTTTCAACAATAACCTTGCCTCAGTGGACCTGTGCTGTGTTTAGCTGTCTGCTCTATCTAAATAGTTATCAAAATAAAAAAAATATCTTATACTTTAGGGAACAATTATCAAGTGTTTTATGAGTCTTTGACAGAGTAAAAGTAACCTAAAGATGGTCTCAAGGTCTCATTTTACTAAACATAGGATCAGGGTATAGACAGAAATCAGCTAATTTCTCTCCAATGAGATGCAAGTCTTCCTTTCAAAACATGATCTGGAGAATTTCTTTGGAGTTTTTATAAAAATGTGCTGTGCTAAATACAGTATAAATCAAAGCTATTGCACATTGTCATTATAAATTTATGAGACTGAGGTTAATATGAATTTGTACATTGAGTTTCACAAAATTCTGATCATAACTGTAGACTCTTACAATATTGAAAATGAAAATATATTCACTCATGGACATCAATATGCAACCACACATCAGGATGTTGGTGTAACAAAACATGGTGAATTTCAATACAATAATAGTTTATTAAATATTTTAAATGTATATTTCTATGAGTAAGATATTTACAAGTAATTTTCCCAACCTGCAGCTGAAATCAATAACCTGTGCCAATTCTAAACTCCAAACTCGCAACCCTCTGAAAACGATTAAAAATGCCCCAAATTTTTTTGATATGGTAGAATTTGATCAACATAAATAAATAAGTGTAATTTGTCAGACACTAAGTTTTCTTATAACATTGTTATCTTTGAACAGTAATTCAAACACAGTAAGATGTTTTGTGAAATTATAAAACTTATTTGTACATAGTACAATGCCACTAAACATTTCTGAAACCTCACTAAAAACTTAACAAATATATATTATATACTATAAATAAATATTTCTAAAATAATACAAATAACACTTCCTGTTCTAAATTCTGATCAAACTGTTGTGACAAACAAGGTGCTATGGATTATCTCCCTTTAATATAAATGTGACCTTAAATAAGTCATATGGTGTAAACTACTACTGTGAAATTATTTCTTTTCAAAGGCATTGGTGTTTATGGTTATCTCTACTCTACTTAACTAGTAATTCTAATGCTTTCTCTCTTTTTTTTATGTGTGAATCTTATTGTTTCTAGACATAGCTGTAATCATCACAACTATAGACCTTATTCATGCCTCGTTTTTTAAGACACTGAAAGCAAGCCATTTTGACGTCAGTAGTCACTCGCTCAACAACAAGAAATCAGCTTAAAGAAATGTGTGAAGATAAAATATATTTCAAAGTATCTTTATTCCAAATTTAATGATGTAACATATGATTAGTTGGAGAAGAAGACTTTAAAGACATTAAGGTGCGATTTTATGTAGTGTCTGACACATTACATTTCTTTGCGTTATGAGCGTTGTTCTTGGCAGAAGCGTGAATAAGATCTATTGTCTGTTATTTCAAGTCAATTAACAACACTTGTAAATTAGTTTTAGTAATTTGTGGGGGCATGAATTTGTGGAATGGCTGATCAATGAAATCAACGAAAAAAAAGGTGCCCAAACAAACAATAATAATTTCACATGAATTAATATCATTCTCAAAATTCAAAACATTGTTAAGCTACATGTCAGGTCATATCTCTTACATCAATAAAATTATGAATTCTAAGAAATTTGGTCAACTTTTACATGAAACTACATACACATATATGCACAATAATATTTCTTATAAACCACCATTGCACAAGAAATATTGAAAATATGTATGAAATAATTTGTAACAATCTATCACAGCTTAATGCATCACATCACCAATATATAATTCATTCATTACAAAAACATCATCAGAGCTAACCAGTTTGACTGTCCAATTACAGATATAAACAATGAACCCACTGCAATGTGAATACATTGAGAAAGGTGGTTGCAAAGTCATGATCATAACTTGGGTTCATTGTTCACTACTTATATCTCAAATTCAATGGCAAAAAAGTTGAACATTCTCCAAACTACAATATAGATATACCAAATAAGCTCTGATATGTTTTTGTACATAGAATACTATTTATCCCTTATATCATCAATATATACATCAAAATGACTTTGGTATTCCCCTGAAAATAATTTGATTAAATCAATATTTTATACATTTATCACAATAGGAATCAAAGATATAGCTCACAAAAGCTTTTTACTCTACAAAATACTAGCTGTAAATTCTTATCTCTATATGAAAATCTTTAAGTAAATATGTCACCTAATGCATAGTGATTCAATCAGGTTCTAAATTCAAATTATGCAACACTAAAAATATGCACAAAAATTTACAATACAAACACCCAAAATTGAATGAATTCTTTGCACAAATCAATTTATTAATTTTTTAAGAAAAATATACTATTTACACAGTACTTCATAAATACATATACAGTATAGTTTCTGGTAATACACATGTTTGATTTCAATCTAATATCTGCCTCAAATCACTTTTATAAGAAGTAAGCATAAGTTAAATTGAAAAAAAACTTTAAATATAATCTTAATATCGTAAGCATTAAATTCATATTGGCCCCAAAGCAAGCAATTACTAATTTTCTTTCCACTTTTTCTCTAATGAAACTACATTGTCATTGTAATAAACATAAGAGATCTCTAATAGCCAAATTAATACTCTACATCCATAAAACTATACATTGCAAAATTTTCATTCCAATCTGTAGGTATATGTTTTATAATAAATAAAATAACATGAGATGTTTCAATGAGACAGGTCTATGAGTGTTTATGAAAACTTTGCTATGGACAGTCTTTGGTTTGACACGTATCATGAACTTGTGATTGAAGGCTTCTTAGAGAATCATGCACCTGAAATTGGAAAATAGTTTATTTAGAAGTATTATCAAGATTTAAACAAGGTTCTTGCTTTGAAATCTTAAATATGTTAAATATAATGAATAAACTTCTAGAAGTCATAGCTTAAAAAGGATACAGTCATATATTAATTCTCTGGTTTCATAAAGGAAATGAGATTATTCTTCAATGTTACATCCACCTTTATTCACTAACTCATGTCTTAACTATTAATATTTATCGCAGACAGATCTGATGTAAGATTTCAATTTCAAAAGTGAATCATTAATAGTTGTAAATATTTACCTCTTGTAATAAATGTATATTAGCTTTAATAACAGTATGTAAATGATTAATAGTTGATTCATGACTTTCACGTTGCACTTTATAAGCTTCATCCATCATGTGATCCCTAAATGGTAAATAAAATAGATTAGATAAATATACTGTAAATCTCACAATCACAATACTATACAGTTTATATCAATTCAAAATCCAAATATTAATTCATATAAAAATCTTCACTATAAATAGGGTTATTTTGACATTTAGATATGGTATGGTGTTTGTCTGCTAAAATTTGAGTCTATTACAGTCAGTAATAAAAACTTTCAAAATTTCATAAACATTTATAAGTTCTGTACAAATTCAGATTAAAAAAAAAAATTTATAGGCTAAAGCTGTTGATAGGTCAATTGATGTTCAAATTTGCTGATGCTGATACAGCAGGGAATTGTAAGTAATTTTATTACCTGAATAATAATTTAGTTTGTGGTGTCCACATTGATGCCATCTCTAGTCTAGCTTGTATGACTAATATTTTATAAGTTAGCCCAACAGCTGATAATAATAGGAAAAATACTCTACAATAGAAATAATTCTAACATGACCAGTTTAATAACTATAACATTAACCTGAAAGTAAATGTATTATCAGAAGTGTTCATTGGACACAAATCTGAGGTGGGTCTATTGTCTCAATTCTCTACCAAGTGTTTCTTTAATACAAATATTTCACATTTATGCATATTAGGCTAACACAGCCCCTTCAAAAATTGATACAAATGATCTTTCATGTCATTATTTAATTTTTTAACATGTTTTAATAGTGTTAATGTGAATATCAATATATCCCTTCAAATAAATATCAAATATTACTTACAAAATACTACACACTGTTAATAATAAATTAGTTCTTGGAATACTGAAAATATAAAATATATTCATTAGATTATATTACATCACTTCCAAATGTCTACAGCGCACAAACACCCAGATTTCCAGTGCGCTAATTATACCAATACAACAAAGGCCCAGTTCTCATTCAATGCTTAGTCTGGAATAGATGGAATTATATACTTACTGTTGTAAGCGAACTTTTAATCTACAAAAAGCTTTATATGGTTCAGTACAATCAAAACCTGAAATTAAAAAAAAAACATTGATTCTTGATAATTACTGATTCCTAAAGAGGTATGCCTCATTGACTCTTTTGGAACACCAAATATTGCTCAGCAATCAATAATATAATTAAATATTCATTTCGTGACATTTTTCTTAATGATCTTGTAATAAATGAATATAATCAAAACCACATAGAAAATTAGAATATAATCCTTTTACAAACTTCAGTAAATTTTAAAAGCACAGCTTGGCCCTCTGTTCTGCATTTGTAACCAACACATAAACTACACCCGTGTACATATTTGTGCTCTACAATTCCACATGTAATAAAGCATACTTACATTTGACAATATAGAAAAAAGGTATTCTGTCTATCCTTGATGGTTTTTGGTCCACATTATTATTTGATTCACATGTTAAACAAGTCTTTTTATCACTAGGCCTTGTTGGTTCTGTTTTCATATTGACACTTCCACACTTTAAACAAACATCACTATCAGTCTCACTTGAATTATCTACTTCTTGTTCCACATCAAAACTACTACAACTTTCACTTAATGATGAACATTTATCACTTTTTCTATAATCATTTGCACTGATTAATGTTGATTCTTTTTCCTGTAATGATCAATGATATACATCAGACATTTCATTACAATGTATAATAATGAGAAAAACTGATATTATACTCCTAAATGTAATGATCACAATTCAATACAACATGCAATGATCCATCTCAATACAAACTGACTGTAAGTATAAATAGTACATCATCAAAAGTCATTTCATTACAATGTGTAATGATCAAATAATGTTCAAATATATGCCCATCACATGTAATGATCAAATATAGTAAACTCACTCAAAATGCCTGTAGTGTTAGATAAAAGCATACCATCCTAAGACAAGTTCATTACAATGTATATAATGATGAAATCATGTATATTAATTGAAAACCTACAAGTAACCTAATGTTAAAAATAGTAGTAAATAAAATTCATAATTGTATAAGAACAAATTATCACAAAATAAACATGTTAAAAAATTCACAAAAATGACTGATTTTCAAAGTAAAATAAAACAAGTTACTTATTAATAGAAACCAGATATAGGGCTCCTTTAACACAAACAAGAGCCTGTTTTAGTTACACTTCCTTACATGTTCGGACAACCAAAACAATTTTGACCCGATTGGAAAGGTCACACCCTTGAACCTTATTGTATTATTAGTCGATTTGTATTAGGCCATATAGAGTAGTTTTATTTTATGTATGTAGTATACTAGTATAATATAATTAATGAAAACAATTCAACCACAACAAATAAAGATCGACTCTATACTGTTGATCTACAGCTCTGCTTCATTAACCTTCATTTATAGGCTTTTCATCATTCTTTTCAATTCAGCTATAAACTACCTTATCTTAGAAATCTCATTAGAATATAAACAGATTTTATACATGAATGATCTTACACTGATTCACACTTTAGAGAACTTAGTCTACAGTCTACATTTACAAACACTAGTACAATAATATGATTATCAAAAATTCAAAAACAATTCATTTCCAAATTAACCAAACATGTCTTTTATGAATTATCAAAATTTATCAAGATAACAAAAATATTCTACAGACTTATTTCTTACATATATTCAATAATATACATACCACAAGCGACAAAGTCAATTAGCCTAACCACAACATGTTGATTGTAAATATAAAGAATGGTATTGTAATACTTGATGTATAATATTGACAGGTATACAGTATATTGATTATTCAACAATCTGTTACATACTCTTACACATACTTTAAATATTTACATACTTTTATCATTTTTATATGCTGTTTCACATACCTTTATAATTTATCATATCACAAATTAATATTACTTCTACATATCCTTTAACATATCTGTATAACTTACAAATATAACTTTTACGTATCCTTTTACATACCTTTATAACTTACAAATATTATTTTAACATATCCTTTTGCATACCTTTATAACTTACAAATATTACTTTTACATATCCTTTTGCATACCTTTATAAATTACAAATATTACTTTTACATATACTTTTGCATACCTTTATAAATTACAAATATTACTTTTACATATCCTTTTGCATACCTTTATAAATTACAAATATTACTTTTACATATCCTTTTGCATACCTTTATAACTTACAAATATTACTTTTACATATACTTTTGCATACCTTTATAAATTACAAATATTACTTTTACATATCCTTTTGCATACCTTTATAACTTACAAATATTACTTTTACATATACTTTTGCATACCTTTATAACTTACAAATATTACTTTTACATATCCTTACAACATCTAAGAACAGATTATATCATAATAATATAATCATAATATATACTTACAGAATCATGGGACTGTTTCCAGAGATTTTCTAAAAGTCTGTATGTAGAATCCCTTGACATAAATGATCCAAACACAACCTGTCAAGAGAAAGTAGTAATGAAACTAATAATAATAGAGTATTTGAGAAGTAGGTACAGTATGTTCTGAAAGCTGGACATCTTAAATCGAGGTCACAGGAAATAATTTCCTATCAAAGAATCACAAAATAAACCCAAAATCCATACAACATATTGGTGAAATAAGATTTCACATTGCTTTCTTATAACTTAGAATACTATATATGAATCACAAAGTCAAACAAAAGAATAAAATGCATAGATCTGGGTTTGATATAGTTTGTATTATGCTCACATAAATCAGTAATTATATAATATGCATAAGGTATCAAAATCTAGTAATATCATACAAAACAATTGAAAATGCTCAATAGGAATAACTAAAGTAGACGAGGTACAATGTACAGTAGAAAATGGTAGAAGCAAATCATGCCTACACTGTGTATGAGCCCGTACCTTGTGTATCTTGAGCAGCTATGACACGCGTGGTGCCAGGCAGGGTATGCTTACTCTACTAGACACCTGATACAACTTTTCATTATGAAATACTTTCTCACTTATGATTGATATACTTCCTCATATGAAAAGTTCATTTAGCTGCTACCAATATTTTTTTTGAAATGTTACAGATTTCGGGGTTTTGTTTTGCACTTTGTTTATACTTGGTTTATTTATTCACTACTGAATCAATAACCATGCACCGTACAACACACCAGATCATGTTTTTTACTGGCTCAAGTCTATTCTTTTCATTGTACTGACAAGTCTGTATAAATCTGTTCATAGGTTCCAGATTAAAGGGGAGTAAGCTTTAAGTCTCTTACCTTAGTGTCCGCTGTTTGAATACCAATTGCATTAGGAAAGACTAGAGCTGTTTTCTCTCTTGTAATACATATTATATCACTGAATGGTATTTCAACCTACAAACAGGGACATAACTCTCTCAGACATAATATCAATACACGTCAATCTCAACTAATAATCAATGGATAGATTCAAGCAGTTAATGTGAAGTATTGTATACAATTTAAACCCGATTTATACCATTTCACTCAAACACCTTTAAATCTGACAGAAATAAGGTTTTAACGTTTCTTTAACACTATTTCAAAATTTCAAACCATTTCTGGTGCACACTACTCTTATTTTGAGCAATTAAAATGCATCATCTAAATATCAATAATATAACATTTAAATATTAATAACATTTAAATATTAATAACATTTAAATATCTATAACTATAACATTTTAAATATTTATAATATAACATATTTAAGTAATAAATTTCATGTAAATATTTTTAGTTTTTCATTACAATATTGATAACATTAATATGGATAATATACAGTATTTAATTTTGATGATTTAAACATTTTAAATAATAAATTTAACATTTAAATATTTATCGATTAACATTACAATATTGATAACATAACATTCAAAATTAACACCATAATATAACATACCTGACGACCTCGACCTTTAATTTTAGAATAAAAACAGATCCAATTAGGTGAAACATACATTAATCCCTGTAGCAATATATCACCTTTAAACGCACAGGAAAAATCTGAAATGATATAAAGAATGATCATATAATTATATATCAGCATAAGGCATTAAAAGTAGTGAAATGAAAAAAAAATATGAAATAGATATTAGGATTAGTTTAGTCTAAAAGATCAAATTAACTAGTAATTTGAATCATATACATTTACAAGTTTCAATTTTTAAGCAATACTTCAACGTGTTAAATCCATAAAACTCAAAGGGCAGTATTGTATTGTTCACCAAAGAACATGTTTTAAGTTTTGAAGAGTTACAATTTTGCAAATTTGCATCATATGGTCTCCTTAATTTTAAACTTGGTTTGTTAAAGGTGTAGTTTATAGTTTATAGTTTATTTGATTTGAAACTATATTTGCAATCCAATTTTGATAATATTTTTTCAACAAAGAAACCAATAATGATTTTCAATTAAATATAAGAATGAATTTGTAAGAATTGATGGCAAACACTCCAGAAACTGTGAGTGGTTATACAATATAGGGTCATTATTTATTATCAAATAAAAACATAAATCAACCTACACAACCATCTCCAAAATGACTGTTTATGAAGAAGACAATGTTAGTAGGGTATTGACCACACTATTCTATAATTAAGAAGACACAATAATGATAGTTGTTAGATTAAAGAACTCGCTGGTCAACAGAAAGTAATTAGATCATCTGATGGTACCAATCACAAACTATCAATTTCCATTACACCAAATGTTGGAGAGAATTATTTATTATCAACAGATAATAGGACATAGCCTGATAATATTATATACACGATATATTACATTAGAATGAAATCATACAACTATATAGTATTAATAGTATTACTTAACCTAGACAATCTTCATACTTTTTCTCCTATGAAGCAAAATTTTGATCCAGCAATTTTGCTACAAGTATGGACCAAGATACCTAGGCCAGACTCATCTACATAATGTCGTCTTTTAACTAGACTGCAATAACTACAATTCTTGTCTAGAACAATGCAGCGATTTCAATGGATTGTATGCTAACTAATACAGCCAATCAGAGCCCACAGCAGATATCCTATAAGAATTATAGCTTACAGCTTACAGACTTTCTGACGATTGCTCTGATGTGCTGCTTTCATTGGTGCACAATCCAATAAAATTAACAAACCTCATTGTTTCATGAAATGTGTCTATTGCAGTCAAAGTATAAAACAAAGTTCTATTGGCTTTGACATTATTAAGAAGGGCTATACTAACAGTTGGTAATCTTTGTTTTAGAACAAATAAATTTTTGGCTTCAATACATTTTAATTGGTATTTTTGTTGAATTTTCTTCATATTTTCGGTGACAATTCCTGATGGATATCAGAAATATGTTAGTGTTGGCACATCCCCTTTCAGACTAGTAAGATATAAGTGAGTAGTGAGCATGGTTTAGGAGAAATATCAATATGAAGTCTATATATTAGATATTGATTAACTGTCATAGGTATACAACTAATAGATTATCATCAACTTTATCTATGAACCTATATCTTTAACTTTAAATATATACAATTACTCTTTACAAACCTTTTCAACATCCATCATTGAGAATATTTATGAGAACCTTAACAAGTTAATGAATGTAAATCATGGACAAGAATTCAGTCTCCATTCCATGAAGAACTACTGTTCTCCATTGAATCAGGTCTGTAGAATAATCAATTGTTTCAAGATATTAGTTGAAAGGTATTCTAAATCAGACAGTCTAGAAAATTTTAATTAATGAGATCTTGAAAAATAAAATGCAATGAATGGAGTTTTAACATCCTACTTTCAAAATATAATCTGTATAAATACATAGTAATCAATTAAAACAACAATACTATACAAAAAAAAAATACTTCTTAAAGCAGGTCACAATTTTTCTGATCCAGAACATTGTAAAACCAACATGTTTTAGAACAAATGAACATATTGGCAACTGTAGCTATTTCTTTACCCTTTGCACAAATACATAAATTAATTTGGTCATATTGATGACAATTATGATGCCAAAGAACCTATAACAGGTCTGGGTAAGTTTCCAGATGTCTCCAGTTTGATTGCCTAATGAGATGGAAAAAATTGTTAGGATGTATGATTAGAATCATTTTTACAGGCAAGCAAGATATTGTTACTTAATAATGTGCTCAATGCTGATGTGTAATAGGTAATTTCTTCCCTTCATTTACATTATATAGACACAGCTTTATGGGACAACAATCACTGGTTAAAGTTTCATGCAACGTTTCGACGTGTTTCCCCCATCGTCCTCAGGGGGAAACACGTCGAAACGTTGCATAAAACTTTAACCAGTGATTGTTGTTCCATAAAGCTGTGTCTATATATCGTACTCACAATTGCTAAATGCCATTCAAAGACTTCATTTACATTGTTTGTTGTATGACCCACACTAAAGGAAAATATAAAGATACTGGTTGCCACAAGATCCAGTTTTTTCCTGGTCCACTGGGAAAAAATGGACATGGCAGCAATCTCAAGTAAGACTTGACAAGTGGAAAACTTCTTATTACGTGTGTAGACGACAAAATTTCCCTGCACGTGTCACCTGATAGGTCTGTCATAAATAGGACTTAACTTTGAAATGTTGCAATAATAATCACGCACGTTGACTTATAAAAAATATCAAAGAAGAAATGTATGCTATATATGTACACCTAAATCTATTATTTATTCATACAACATGACCCACGAAATAGTTATTATTATTCAATACAACAATCAAAATATTATACAGTCATATGAATAATAATACTATTGGGATATTCTCCATGTCAAGGCTAATATTCATTCATTCTAGGAAATAGAGGTTTTAACACAATAATGTATGGAATCTATAATGATTGAAATTCTTAACCAACATTTTAGCACGACTAAATATGTGTCATAGGCAATGCCCTACATTACCCTGTTAGAAGTTTTATGTTACTAATCTTCCTCCAACAGCACTTTAGGCAAGATTTTAATCGAATGAGACTGCCTATGCATTTGATTCAAGTTATCTCTACATGAGGTTAATGGCCATACACACCAGGTAAAGGATTTCCTAAAGGAAACTTCTTCCTTTGTTCTATATATTAAATAGGTTTGACAACAGTATAATGATATGATAGTCCACATCGTAAAGGTTAACTTATAGCCTGTGTTTTCCCTATATTTTTATGCTTGGCAAATTTTTATATTGAAAAACAATTTGTAGAAGACAGCTTGCCAAGCAAGGTTATATACGCCCACTGGCAGCTTTGAATTTGAATAAAAAAATAGTACAGTAACAATTACCAGTATGAAATATTCAACCTTCAGGAATACACTTCTTTTGACTTTTTTGGGGCGATGCTGAATAACATTACCAAGTTTTGTCAAAATCCAGCAAGAATCGTACCATTTAGTGTTTACGAGCTCCTATAAAACATTTTTTTGATTTTCAATAGAATTCATCCATGGGTGATAATAAACAATCATTTGTGCCTTCTAGAGTAATTGTGACGACAATATATCTAATTCAGGTATGTTGATAACATAAAATACATAAAACATGCATAATAAATTTTAAGACTATCTAGGTTAACACTATTGTAATGTTTACTCATGAGCTTTCTGAGGTCACTTTCTACTGAATGAAATTTATCTGCACTATATTGAAAAAAAAAGTCAACTTGTTTGCTACTTGTCTACAAATTTATAAAATATTATACATAATATAAAATGTCATTAATAATTTTTCAGACAAATTTTACAAATGTCAATTTTCTTATAATATCCTGAGGTAATGGCTTATAAAATTATATAATTTGCTACAAAAAATTGAACACACTTTCTTCTTTTTACTCAGAAAATTACTCCCAATTGGCAATATTAGAAATTAACTTGTTAACAAAGAGCTAAAGGCCATTAAAGACAACTGTGATTGGAGCTGATATTTTAATTCTACAAAGGACAATAGAAATATTGAGATTCAGATCCCTTAAGCGCTGGCTGTTTAAAAAATCTTACAACTGTAAGTCATAAATTTATGTAATGTAAGAAGCAAACATGAAATTTTGATTCACACCACAATTTGTTGAAAATATTATCTTTCACTTTCAGATGTTACTTCATAAAAAAATATGTCAAAGGCAGCAACTCAAAATCTTTTAAATGGAATCATGCAACATTTCAAGTATACAGGTACATATCAATATTATATGAAATAATACAATAATGCAGAGATATTTGAACTACTAATATCAAATAAATTATAAGTGGGATAATTCCTAAAAGAGCAACCACTTTTTTGCAATATCTGTTACATTGCAAATATATCAAAAAATTATATTACATAAAAATAGGACTAAATAGTGTATTTATTTTCATTTCTTTTTCAAACAAAAGTATAACATTTCTTAAAAAATACTTACAATCAATGGGAAATTCATCCTCTGGGACGGACTGAAACAATTTATGGAACTGTTCATTTCTAGACTTGCTCACTGATGGATAGAAAAAATCCTGTAATGAAAAACAAGATGTGCATTTATTCTTGAGCACCATTTTACATGGTTCAGGTCAGATCGTTTGGAAAGAACAATGACAGCTTGGTTCTTCTTTCAAAACAAACAGTTGAAATCAGATCAGAGTAAGAGTTAGGTGTTAAAAGCGTTCACAAACCACTACCAGTATGAATAAGTGTTCAGTAAACAACAGAAAGTCAGTAGATTTTATAACATATGTGATCACCAGATAAGTTTGATTATCATTCTCACCTTGAACCTTCTTGATCTCAGATCAAATCACACATATATATAGAGTTAAACTAGGATTAAAATTACTGATCAGAGTTCAAATCTAACTTTTAAAACCAGTGATCAATGAACAGTTACTAATAAGAGTTTGTTACCAGCAGACACCAACTCTTGGTGAATTGATTTCAGATGACAATAGTGTTCATCTCTTAAGTTAGTTTCATTGATATATTAAACCAAGGTCAGAAAATGTTGTTTGCGTTCATCCAGTGAAAATTCAAAGCATATACAGTCCATTACATATGGAGGAAGTTTCAATGACTTGTTGTTTCATAAGGTCAATTATGTCAGCTTCATAGATTTAGTTAATAGACTATCATGCTGAAGGCTGTTTGGAAATGAATTGTTTCTAGATAAACCAAAGTACAGTTCACAAGAGTCATTAAGGAGATATTGTCCTTTATTTCACCAAAATATCAGTATTTCCTTGAAATTATTCCCCTATGTGTACAGGTACTAAATGTTGACTAAGTAACTAAGTTTGAAGATAATTAACTTCCACGACTGAGACCGACATCTTAGTTAATGACCTTGTAAATATTGGTGGTCTTAAACCTTTCTCTAGCGTCTGGCTAGTTTACCAATCTACTTAGTAAACATTCAGTTTAACGTTTGACTAATCTTTACAAAATTGTTCCAGACACACACTAATTTCAGAAATTACTGGGAGTCTAAATAAAAAGTTGGTTGGTCAAATACAGGGCAGATAATAATAAAGAATTCTTAAAGGATATTCATTTTTCGTTTACCTTTACAATTCATCAGATCAAACTGAAATTTAGCTACCTGTTTGTCTGCAATTAATCAAAAAAGTAATGATAGATTTGTTTTTATTATAACATGTCATTTTAATTGATTATGTTATTTCATGATTTTCATGTAGAGATGGAAGCAATGGCTTTATAAATCAGGTTTGTTTCTTTATTCTAAATCTTTCATAATTATATATTATAAAGCTACTATTTATCTGAAGAAACAAACCTTTACTTGAATTCTCTATATATAAGACATTTCTAATTTCATTTCATTAAAATTCAATAGCATTATATTTTTTTCAGACATAAGGTTTGTCTACAATTAAAGAAACCATTGTAATAAACAGACTGTAGTGAAGTCTGATAGTTCTTTCATTTAGACATTCCTAAATTCATTACATTAAATTCAGTAGCATGAAATTCACTTGGCGAGTTAAAGACAGACAAAATCAGTATGTAACAAAGTGACCTGAAATCAATTTCTATTAACCAGAATTTCATGACCTGGTTTACGTGTCTCAAGCTGAAGAGATTTGCATACAAAATAACAGACTGAAGCATTTACCAGTTGTTTAGGTTGTTTAAGAGTTAAAAATTGTAATGTTTACAGCTTTGCAAGAGTAATAAATATATAAGGTTCCCAGCCTTTTTTATTTGTGAAAAATTCAAATAGATAAATTAATCTTTTTCAATGGTTATCAATAAATCAAAAAGAGCTCAAGTTTGCGACTCAGAAAGTTACATAGATAGTTCAAGATATTAAGAATTTGTACTTATACTTGACAGCATTAGTCAGCATGCTTGTTTCACGGAATGTAACGATTTGATTGGATTGCCCTTGACAGAAAGGTTATAAACATTATGGTTTAAATTTACAGACTCTGTCCAGGCCTGTGATTGGCTGTATTTGCTAGTGTACAATCGAATATAATCACTTCATATAAAAACTTTCATGATTCAAGAAAGGTGACTATTCCAGTCAAGGTATTAGACGCAGTTTGTAATAGCTAGACATTGTAAAGATGTTGATGACCAGGCTATCATATTTTCTTTCTGAAGCTGATATTAGGTCAATTGGTTGGTAACTGATTAATTACAAACTATCCTTTTAAAGTGAATCTTGCTGACAAAACGTATAGTCAGATTCAATTATTACCATTATTGATTAGTATTTAGAAGTGGTGATTTCATTAATCAATGGATACCAATAATATTTATAGACTGGTAATTCCTTTCAATTTTACAGTAGGATGGCCAGTAATTTCACCAAGACAAATTATCAATTCTCTAACCAATAAAGGTACAAACTGACTAAACATTTTTATTAAATATCCATACATGATTTGCCTAAGCGATTTGAAATAAGAAAGCTGTAAAAATTCTGTGTCACAGCATTTCTAGGATGATAGATATTTCGGCAGAATCTTTGAATAATACACCAATACTGATTCTCTATAACATAGTTATATGATTTTGTGTTTTTTATATAAACAAGGCAGATCCCCCAAAAAGTTCCAAGGATACTCAATGATGAGTTGAGTACACAATTTATGTTCAAAGTTACAGAGAAATGTACACAGCACAAATGTCAGTATTTTCCCTTAAAAGAAAATACTATATCAAACAAATGGTTGTTGAAAGTGATTGTGTAATATATAATGCAAGTCAGAATGTCTGATATATTTTTCAAATGGACCAGTACTTAATAACTGAACATTGATTTGTAGATAACAGTATTTATTGATTCCCTATCTCTAGATAATAAATCATTTAATTGCAAGATATTTCTGTTCAGAATGGTACAACATATTTATCAAACTTTATATTGTGTCATACTTTATTATACACATCCCATGTTTTTATTTTAGGAAGAATTATTTGCCAGTTTTTGAAAAATAAAGTTGTTTTGAAACTACATAAGCATATATTGGCATTCATAGTCAGTTGCCACCTTCTCTAGAAATAAAACTGAAATAACAACTTACGATATGTCCATTAGTGGGTTTTCTTGTGTTCATATTTGGACTAACATTGCTGAAAAATACAAAATAACTATATATTACAATTGAATTTTGATATATAGAAACTAATTGTATATCAAAATAGATTTAAAAAAGAATGTAGGCAAATCTAAAGAGAAGTAACCAACTGTAAATAGTAACAATATTTCAAATGGATGGCTAATCTACTTCATCTTGTCTACCAGCTGGTCCATGGATCTTTCTCAGATTCTCGTTTAAAGACTGGTTTAGTCAACTGAAAGAATGACCAATGACTAACATTTGTCCGATGTTACCAAAAAGTGATTGCAAGATTTCACACTACCTTAAAGAGCTACAGTCTATCCACAATTAAAGATAAAACACTACAGCTGTATAGCTGTTTTACAATCATCATAACATGTCATTTACAATATACAACAGAATAAATATAATATACCCTACAATTACATGTTACAATTCAGAATTACATATTCACTTAAAGATAATTACAAATGCATTACAAGTAAATACAGATTTTTATTTATCCTAATAAATTACACTTTCATATTGCAAGTATATCTTCACATTTCAAACAAAGTTAGAGTCTTTTGACAGATCAAATACGGTTATGGCAAATTGTTTAACCCCAAGGATAATGAATATATTACAAGAAATTTTGACTGGTTAAAAAAATTAATTTACCCATTCTTCAACCAGGTTTCCCCCTGTCAGTCATGCAGGTAAGAGGGACTGACATGGAAAAAGCGTCAAGTCATTTGGATGAGACAATAAACAGTGGCCCCGTTTGTTACAGGCTGTGCATGTTAAAGATCCCTTGACAGTTGGAAATCGAAAAAAGAGCAGGCTAATACCGCTGTCCCAACAAATTTATTTCATTGCACTCTACATGTCGTTGTCGTCTTCATTAGCCCACATGGTGCAGAAAAGTAGAATGTAAAACTCCATTCATTTCATTTCAATTTCCAACTGTGAATGAAATTCTCTATTCAGGAACAGAAAAGACACTGGATAATATTGAACATTTATAATGAATGATATAGCATATAAATATATTACAAATAGAATACATTTATATTTTACTTGTTTTATTGTCAACTTTGTTCAAAATTGATGTAAAAGTGACAGCTTTCAAGTTGTGTCTTGTTTTAAGGTTTTAATCACAATAAACATGTAATGTATAGAACTTCCTTGATATCAAATAAATATCGGGCATTCAAAATGTCAATCAGATTACAGTTTGAAGAATTTTAATCAGCTTAATAATGATTTTACCTTTCAATCTTAATTTATTTCTTCAATCTGGACTTAATTAACCCAATAAAATCAATAAATTAGATAATTATCAAAAGTAGGTCAACCTAACGGAAATTAAATTCAGGATTATGATATATATATATATATATATATACTTTTGTCCTGTTCGGCTAATTGCCTTCTTCAGAAACATTTCAGTACCGTAGTTTCTGATCACATTTTTTCTGGCTTTCTTTTACTTCATGACTACATACAATATTTCTTTCATTCCACTATAACTTGCAAATCTTTATGTTAACTCTTATCATAAAGAAAAGTTACACAACCAAAGAATAGCAGGCCAGATTCTGGTGAGACTCAATATAGACAATCAAGTAAAGCTATTGTTTAGAAGTTTTGTCAGTGATCAGTTTTTAGACATGACCTGCAAGAACCCAACAATCAGTAGTGAATATTGTAAAATAGGGTTACTCTTTTGTGTTACTTAAAAATTTGTCATCATGATGATAACCTTTTATGAAAAGTGATACTTGGCTATTTCACTATGTCAGTAGTGATAATAAGGCTGTATTGGGGTCAGAGGTCATTAAGGTCACTTAACGGTGACATATATCTGTAAAGCAGACATTAGTTATATAATACATTGACTGGTTGACATTGTATTGTCAAAACTACTGTATAAGGTTTTTAATAATAAAAACATAGTTAAATTAGAATACATTCCAACATATAAATATCATTTTTATTCAATGAGTTATACAAGCCAAGGAGACAACATCTGTCCTTTGATTCAACAGGACAATATTTTTCAGAGTAAGGGGGGAAGATCGAGGTGTCAAGACTCAAGACGCATGCCTGGCAACTATTTCTCACACAGATAACGTTTACACTACCAAATTTTACCTGGTTCGTTCTCAGATCAGATTAAAAATTAGTAGCGCAAATAATCAGATGAATAATGAAATGACTATACATGCATCTGCAATCCCTTATCATTTTCCACAATAAAAGAGCACTTCAATTTAGGTAGAAAATTGCCTCAAGTATTAGACAGTCAATTATTTTCCTGCAAAATGCTCAAGATATCCAATTATTAAGTTATCATTTGGTTTGAGGACAGTTTCATTTCAGATAAAACTGAGGAAACAGAAGTACATGTTGCAAGTCAGTCAAATAGTGACTGTTCTTGATGTTAATCCAAATGAAATGAAATGAAATGAATGGAGTTTTACGTCGTACTTTTCTGCACCATGTGTTCTAATGAAGACGGGCAACGCCATGCAAAGTGCAATGAGGGAAATTTTGTCAGGACAGCGGCATTAGCCTGCTCTTTTTCAATTTCCAACTGTCGAGGGATCTTTAAAGTGCACAGCCTGTAGCACACGGCCTCGGTTTATTATCCCATCTGCACGACTAGACGCTTTTTCCATGTCAGCCCCTCATACCTGCATCACTGACAGGGGGAAACTGGGTTGAAAAATCCGAAGGTATTATCTCGACCTATGCCAGGATTGAACCCTGGACCTTCAGGTTAGCGAGCAAGCCTCTAACTCACTGAACCACGGCGGCTCCCTGATGTTAGTCCAAGAGCTAGCTATGGGTGATTCTATCCCAAGAGACCCAGAAGGTTTGATGTTGTTCGTACAAATCAAAATACTCCATGTGTTTTTGAGCATTTATATTTTACAAGGTTTTTTTGGTTTTCTAGTAGTGTCTGTCTACCAGCTAGTCTTTCGTCAACCAATTATCTTTCCTGAATTATGACAGACTGTCAAGTCCTAGGAAAATATTTCAGAATGCTGTACACATCTCATCATCCGTAGCCAAAAAAGATACTAAACTTAGTCACAAAATATGAACACATAAAATAAGCCACAAAATGTGAAGAAATAGTCACAAATATGTATGAAGACTTAGCAACAAATATGATGATATACCCACAAAATATAAACAAAATATGATGACATAGCCACAAAATATAAACAATATATAGCACCATTATATTTTATTGCATTCTAGATATCAAGTAAATTTTCAATGTGAGAACTTGTTCTGGAAGTTATCTATACTGAACACTGTAAAAGCTGACAGGAAATAATTTGATATTAAATCAAGTGTCATGTATCAGACGTATATAGCCCCACGCTAAATCAACCATATAATTTCATTGATTCTTCATTAACCTAAATAAAGTAGCGTTATCAATATTAGTCTACTTAATGCTGAACCTAAAACCTACATTTAGATCATCTTCATTTCACAGTAAAATCAGCCACAAAGTTCATTAAGGTGGGTGTATCATGAATATTCGTTATACACAAAGGAAATGTTCCATAGACTTATAAAACCTTGCAGTCGAACTCTGTTTCAAAAGTCTTATAGATTTTCCACAACCATTATTGGCTTTGAGATGTGTCTTTATATTTATATGTTCTAGCATGAATTGAGATTTTAGTAAGGTGGGTGGCTCATGAATATATGGGAATACACAAAGTATATGTAGGTAGACTTATGAAACCTTGCAGTCAAACTCTGTAGCTCAATTGTTATAGGCGAATACATTTCCAACATGGCTGGAATTACAGAAAAGATAACTTTTCAAGATTATTGGAACATCTAAAGATTTGAAGACACCACCATTTATTTGGATATAGTCATTGAAAACAGCAAAGTGAGCTCTACATACTTCATCATTTATTATAGATATATTTCCCAGAACTTCCTTGACCATGTCTGAGAAATGTCATTTGGAAGATAAGAGCTAAAATCTAATTTTCTGTCTGAGTAAATTAAGATAAATTGAGACTTAAAAGTATATAATAAATATCTAATTTCATGCTTGTATCATGAGAAATATTGTGTATCTTAAATCTTTTTTAATAAGATGAAGACAATGTTAGGAAATAGGAAGAACAGTCCTAATCTGAAATGCCTTGATACAGACAGTATCAGTTACAATAGAATTTCCAAACTTTATGAGGAGGGGAACATTCTAATATCCTTTTTATCAGTTACAGTAAATTCAATGTGGATGACACTTCTTCTGAACCTCAAATTAATAAACATATGAATGAGTAATTTCCATTTTATTGTCCTATATCTTTATATTAAAATTATGCAAAAACACTTTAGCCATACTTTCTCTTTTATTAACTAAATGAGTCAGGTAAATGTAATATATAAAAGAACATTAGCAACTCTTTTCTATTCAAACCATCCACAAACAAAGTAAAATGCATTTATAATATATAAGAATTGAACATATAAAAACTTGATAAAAATGGTTTTTATGACAAAATGACATGAAAAATACATTATGTACTTACCGAGAGACATCTGATTCAGTTTTCGGTGCAAGCAGGTCACACACATCATTGCCATTGAACACTGGGGACTTATCCCCACCCCCTCCACTAGATGTCGACAATGTTGATATGGTGGGAAGAGATTTTCTGAAAAGAAAGATCGAAATTTAGGTTGAGTTTTAAACTAAATGTAGAGGAAGCATGAAACAATGAACAACAGGTTTTACATGCAATAAAGGAAGTGCAAACTGTAGACTACAGTAGTTTTAACAGATAGTGTTTAACATTACCTAAATATCAATCTAAAACTGGCATTATATAACAATTCCTTCTATAAAACACATGGTGAATATTTCTTGTTGCTGGTAATATAATTACTATTTCAACTTCCTAGACAAAACTTTTTCTTAGAACTTAAAAATGGTTAACTAGTACCAGTCATATCCTTACAAACTTTCTTGTGGAATGAATTAAGAAAAAAATGAAAGGTCCTTGTGATATTTTGTTTGGCAATGTTTTGCTCACGTTTCATGTCTGTATAAATAGATTGGAATGTTTATTTCTCACGCCTGGTCCAAGTGAATGAAAACAGTACAAGTTAGATGTATTATTTACTCTCATATTATTACCTTGCTAACTATGAATGAAAAAGGAATCTGGTTAAGTTGAAAATCATTGCATTCTCAAATTTTTTCATTCACCAGTTTTATATCAGGCAAATATTCTGACATTTATTGTGTATCAGGAAAACATTGTTTATAATTTCTATTTGTACCATTATTATTCCCCATCTGAAGAGAATGGTGCCTACATTATCCAAATTTCTTACCAGATTATGACTTATGACTTGGCTAAGCTTGCGACCTGACAATCCTCTAAAATCTTTTCTGGTTTGAATTTAGAATAAAAGTTTCCCTGTTTCATTTTCTTAAGAATTTTCTGAAGATTATATAAAAAAATTCCGTTTATAAATAAGGATGTATTTACATCATACAATTCTTCATGGGATCCTTATCAATATATTTAATCATTCATCTCTATTACTCACACAAATAGTTATATCCTCATTGGACAGTTTCATAATTTTACCCTTTGATCATGTGGGTCAAATGTCAACTTGAATAAGGATATCTGATGATTGATTATGCTTTTGAAGCAAATGAGGCGTGTCTTTCATATTTCCAAATGACATTTAATCTTTTGACAGTTTAAAAAGGTCATGTACATGTATGCCTTTGATAAAATTAGCACACATGTAAGTATCACATTTATGTTACAGTTTATGGTTTCTGTTTGAAAACATTTTGATGACACAAACACAAACTCACTCTATTTTCAATCTGTCATATATACCTTTTCAATGACAATCAATCTATTTCTAACTTTATAACTTTTTTTAGAATAAAAGTTTATTTGGATATTGCGTTATTGGACATGCTCTAGTCCAGATCGTTACTATGTCACAACATACAGCATTATTTGAGAACCTACATAAAATATACGTACAACAAGATTGAGTCAAAAAAGATAAAGCCTTCCCCCAATTTAAAGAAAGGTGACAAAATGTAGGAATAAGATGCTTATAAGAAATAGCGCTGACAAAAAAGTCCCATATGTATTTCAAATCCTATTTCAAATCACCATCCTTAACATTTGAACAGTTTATTTTCCAATATAGAGATAAAATCAGAGAATTATTCCACTGAGACTAATGACAATAGTGAGAAATATCTAGTTAGTGTTACAGTCATGTCCACAAGTTACACAGTAATTTTAACTTCATCCCATTATATTGTGCCTTCCAGACATAAAATAATATAGAAATCAAACACCAATAATCTTGTGTCAAATATCAACTCAAGACTAGAAAGAAGAAACAGAATCAGATTTTTTTTTAGAGTGTTGGCAGAATTAATAACATTGATTCCATAAAAACAGGAACCCATCAAAGAGAATTCTTCAGGCTGCTGAATAGCTTCAGCCTTTGAACAAGCTTACAGTACCACATTGCCCTAATGGTTCTGGGTCTCCTAACAATTTGTGTGATCGTAACAATGATGTTTCTGTGAGTACTCAGTTGATCACCACCTATGATGTATTAAAGGTGTTCTTATTTATTTCTGATTATCAAGACCAACCAGGATTCAGATCCAAGCATATTTTATTATTTTTCAGAGAATATTCAAAGAACTCCAGTATTTCTTTGTGCAACAACATAATGTCTCAAATGATATAACTAACTGGTACAAAAGAAGAAAAATCTTCTGAATAAACTTAATAATACAAATCATGGAATATTTCTATGCAATCTTGACAACATTGTTGTAAAAAAGAATATCAAGAGATTATGCCAGAAGCATGAAAGATTATACCTAACTCACACTGTAAGATGTATGCAAGGTTTTTTTTTTACATCATTATGAGTTTTTCAGATTATTTCTGTAAGACAACATGTTCTCAAAGACATTGAGCTGAGTTGACATTAATAATATATCACTTTTATCTAAGGTTTCAGTTTCATTTCGCAATTAATTCTCTTAACTTCGAAAAAATCATTAAAAGGCATAAAAAGCAACAATATGACAAAAAATATTAAATTTTTGTAAAAAAAATCCAAATTAAAGTTTTGTATCCACTTTGTTTCTCTTGAAATTTTAACTGTCAAGGGATCCTTATAATGAAGAAAGCGTTAGGTACATTGGTTTATTGTTCTAATAAAGATATCATCTCGACCTATGCAATGTCAAAGACCATATCTTTCGTTTAGACAGGAAACAACTTTGTTTAGAATGAAATTCTGTCATTTAGCCTATAGAATGTCATTTAGTATTTAATGCCCTGCCAAAGAAGTATTTGTATTTTTTTTAAAAAAAGTAAGTTCCATAAGGAAAGATAAATCATTCAAGAAAGATATTTTTTTCCAATATCATATACTGCCCTGTTTTTAATTTAATAATGAAAGGCAGAATTGTATGGATAAGAAGTTAAAATGATTATAATATAAATATATAAATATCAGATGATGTATTCTTCTTATTATTCATATAAACTATAGACATTACTAAAATAAACAGTAGACCTTTTTCATAACCAACATATTATATACCTTGACCTGAACTAAAGATAGCTGTCAAAGGCATAGAACATGTCCACATAGCAGTTGCTCAAACTGGTTTCATATAGTTACTGAATCGTTATTCAATCTGAATATGTTTTGTGGTTTCATATAGTTACTGAATCATTATTCAATCTGAATATGTTTTGTGGTTTCATATAGTTAGTGAATCAATATTCAATCTAGATATGTTTGGTGGTTTCATATAGTTACTGAATCGTTATTCAATCTGAATATGTTTTGTGATTTCATATAGTTAGTGAATCAATATTCAATCTGAATATGGTTTTTTGGTTTCATATAGTTAGTGAATAGTTATTCAATCTGAATATGTTTTGAGGTTTCATATAGTTAGTGAATCTTTGAAAGAAAGAAAGAAATCTTCGTGGATAAATTTAAAAGCTGGTGGGAATAGATTTTTGTTGTTACTAAAATCTTGAGTATTTAAGTTTTAACAATGCTATGACCTGTGTCTGTAAAAGTAATAAAATGTAATATGATTCTTGGTGTTTAAAACTGTGGACTAGCAGCATGTGGTGGTCATAGACTTGTACATGATTAGTTGTTAATGACACTATTACAGATCAAACGTTGCTCGTGGTGAGCAATTTCTCCTGTTTGTGTGTAGGACTGAAACAACAGTTATTTAGTTTGATAAATAACCTATATTCTGACATTTTTAAAACAGCTTGTAGTTTGGTGATCAGAGATCTTATCAGTACTTAAATTGATAGCATTAATAATTTGGCTACTGAACAAGAGCAAATTTCATACTTCTTGAACCATGGACAGCAGATAATTCAACCAAAATCAATCAAATTAAAATTAGATAACAATTTCTTTATTTTTGAATTTTTTTCGACTCTACTGTCATCTAACAAGTTATAAGAAAATTCAGAGTTAGGGATGCTGCATACAATTATGGATTTAAAAGATATAACAGTTAATAAAAAAATTAACAGAAGTAACTGACAAACTTCTATACAAAAAATGTAAATAATATTTATAATGTTATATTGTTATTTTGTATACATGTATTTCTAATACATAGAATGAAATAAAGGAAATGAATGAAATTGTTTCTGCCGACTCAATTCTCTCATAAGAGACCACCTCCAGTAAGAGACCATTTTTTAATTTTCTCCTGTGTGGTCTCTTAATACAGTTTCTACTGTACAATATAGATTATCAGATCATTAATACTTTACAAGACACTATTTATAATTCATACTGAGATATAAATATATTATTACCAGAAAGATCAATATCAAAATATGTCTTACATTGAGAAGGTATGCTAAACATCTTTATTTTTTACAGCTTGCTTTAAGGTTTGGTTTCCCCCTATTAGTGATGCATTTTGGAGGGATAGACATGGACAAATTGTCAAGTCATTGAGATAATAGATCACAGACTTGTAAACTAGTGACTGTTCATCGCAAAGATTTCCAAACAGTTGGATATAAAAAAGGAGAAGGTTTCTGCCTCTCTGTTCTGGCATTGTATCATTACTACTGCAAAACATAATAACACTATTCACGAATAGTGGGATTTTTCCATGTCTGAGTTTGTCCATGTTTGAAGGCACAAAGGCCACAACATATTATTGGAATACATGTATAATGAAATTCAGTTGCACAAGATTAAAGTGGAATAAAATAAATGTTGGCCTATGTTAGATGAATCTCGCTTCATATGTTAATGAAGACAGTTCCATTATCAAATTTCAGTAGATAATTCCATATGTCTTCAACATTATGATTTAAATTCTGCTAACTTTACAATGGAAAAAAACAAAACTGGTGCAATTTGTAAAGAGAGATAGATTGTTGTCTGCTGGGTTATTTAATTAACCTATTATTAAAGGGATACTATGTCTTAGAATACACTCGTCCTGTGGCTAATATTTGTGTTTAATAGTGACCATTGGTTAAATAAGTATGCATCCCACACTTTATCAAGTTTGAAAAAGCGACAATAAAACTATAATCAAAATTTTTAAAGAAAGTGAGCAAGCGACAAGTCCGTTCCG